TGGAATAGGAAAGTGCCGTCAACAATGAAACTACGCAAACAAAGCACTATTAGTCGTCCCGCAAAAACCACGCATAGAATAGTGACGACCCAAATGTCAACAAAACGGGACATTATTTACGTGCCGGTAGGAATTTGAAATACAAAAGTGAGTTGTTAAAACTGTCCGAGGCTTTGTTTCGATAGTGATGCTGGCGGAGCGATTACATCGAGCAAAAAACGACAATGGCGTTCGGAGCCGCGGCCGACTCGCCTCCTTCGCGCCGATAACAAACAGTTCGGTGAAAATCCGCTCGCCGGCACCGAATCGATGTCCAAAGTGCTATATCAACTTTATCATTGTCGTCGTCCATAACTTGGCACCCTCCGAGCGTCGAAAGCCAGTAAGTATGTAAATTACGGTCGCGAGCGGCCGTTCTCGGGTGCCCACTTATCTATTCAAATTTCGCTCGGAGAGGGGTTGCGTCGCCGGCCTTCGCTAATCAAAATCCGATCAGCCATTAAGTCCTCTCGCTATCTGCGCGTAGTTTACGAGCGGGAGGTGCGGGGGCATGATCACTTATTTATGTGGTGGGGCCGTGCCTGAAAAACTACCCTCGCACGCGGCCTGGCTCGCAACGTGTACGAGCGCCATAAACCCGACGCGGCTTTGTAATCAGGCATGCCGCGCTTTTTATGAGCTCGCCTTTAGCAGTCACCGCTCCGGATAAATTTAGCCGCCATCAGATATTGAAGCGGTATATAAGCTTTTATATGCATTCACGCGGCCGTGAGGAATGAGACGGGTGCTGCGTTGCATTTTCTAAATCGTGTTATAAGAGGTTTTCGTCCTCGGTTATATTTAACGCGGGAGGATTTCTAATATATAAACAAATGGCATGAGGGTGTGGTATAGATGTAGGTAGAGGTGTATAGCTTTAGCTAGTGAAGTGTGAGACGCGTAGGCGGCGGGGTCTGTGTTATCGCTGACGGCCACGAATCGCGTGTATTTTTGCCGCGCGTAGGCAATATACCGCATTGTTACACTCGTGAGCGGAAAGCGATTTAATCATATTTTTATATACTCGTTGTTTAATAAGAGGTTTTTATCTACATAACTTTTGTTTTTATAAGATTGACACATTAAAACCTAGATTTTTTGATTTTTGTAAAAAAGTAAACTTGTCAAAGTAAACTTAAAAAGAAACATATTTAAAACATGATAACATATTTAGCATCCCTTTAAAATGTAGTAATGTGAATAATATTAAACAATATTTTTTATAAGATATGTCTTTGTTTATAAAAACCGCTCTCGCTTCCTTTTGTCACTGTGAGAACTCAGCAGGGAACGGTGTAGGCAATATACGGCATTATCGTATTTTTACCGAGATCGATGGGCCGCGTCGAACGCCACCTGTGCTTTCACGTCTCGAAACATCTATTACGCCTTATATACTTCAGCTGAAGACTCTTATATACGAGTATTAATAAAGCCGTATATAGAATGAATATAGTTCATAATGAATATAGTATCATTTTTCACACATGAAATCGTTATGTTAATAATTGGTAATTCCAATAATTATCTATATATAGGTACATATAACAAAATTCTAACTGAGTTGGATCTGTAAATTCAATTTTTTTGGAAAATCTTATTGAAATAATCATTACTATCGATACAGAGGCCGAATCTATACTTTTTAAACTTTTTGTCTGTCTGCCTCTGACCACATCATGAGAAAACCACTGGACAAATTTTGATGAAATTTGGTACGGTGACAGTTGCTTATTCAGGTCAACGTATAGAATACTTTTTACTGTAGGAAAATATCTCATCTCTGAGCGAATCGCTAAAATGTAACTAGGGACGAACCCGAGCGGAGCGAGGGGGAGTCGCTAGTAATTAAATAATCATAATATTTATGTTGTTGTTTTTGTGTCAAGGTGGCTGTCAGTTTTAAATGCAACTGTTCTAGACGCTTAATCGCGTCGTTTGTTATCAGGACCTTCAAATAAAATTTAAACACTTGAATAAAAAAAACTCCTGCAATAATAAAGTTAGAGGTGTTATATTATAGTTTTTTTTTAATTTTTACGACATAAGCTTGCATATTATAAAAAAACTACTTTTCTGTGTCTGGTCGTTTGTGCGCCTATAACTCGTTAACTAATTTAATTATTAGATATATATATCTCATACTCCGGTGGGACGACCACTCGACACGACCGGTGAGAGTTAAGGCGCAGGACCGACCTTTACGTGCTCTCCGAGGCACGGGGGTGAAACACCGCCAACTTCCCAACTCCGGGCTGTTACTGAGACTTACTATACAGAAAGACTCAATAACTAAACTTGGCCCGACCCGGGACTCGAACCCAGGACCTCCAGGTGTGCAGCCATACATGCTAGCCACTACACCACCGAGGCAGATTTTAATATACCCTTAGGTAATCTAGGCTATAAACAGCATCAGTTTGACGTCACCCATAAGAAAGACCTGGGAGAAGCACAGGTCACCTGTTTTTAGGAAATCTAACTATACAGTACCGATTTCCTTACATTAACAATGCAAATGAAATTACAAATTCAGGTACTACGTCACGGGCGACAACAAAAGTATAAAGAGCAAAGTTTATAAAGTATAAATTTAGATGTTGCACCGAAATAGTCACCCTCGTTTTGGGAATGATGAAAGATTAATGTGTGACGTGATTCAGTAGTACAGTCAGAGGCAATAATATTTATGCGTTTCAACACCTTGATGAGTTAACGCAGAAGAGGTTAAGTTGTAAATTTATGAAATTGGCTATCTCTGAGGCGCGTTTATCAATACTCTTTTATAAAGATGTAGAGTTTGTGACGTTGTGGGGGTAATCTCTGGATCTACTGAACCGATTTAGATGAAATTTGGTAATAAGATAGTTTGAGACCCTGGGAAAGACATAAGATGCTTTTTATCGCGGGAATCATCCCTTAAGAGGGTGAGAATGGGGATGAAAATTGTATCGGGAATCAAGCTAGGGACGAACCCGAGCGAGCGACGGTGAGTCGCTAGTTGTACATAATTTGCTTAGTAAATTTTTTACTCAATATTTTATCTTGGATGTTTGTCGGTCGTACGTAAATATATATTTTTTGTGTAAGTTATTTTTTCTTTATGTAATCTTTTCGCTACGTAAGCGCTACTTTACACATTGGTATACAAACCAGTTTTCCTCAGACAAATGTAATTCAAAAGTGGAAGGGAGGAAGGGCTAGTTTTTATTTTTTCAATATGATTTGTATCTAAAGTTAACCGTCGTGGTTCACGAAAACCAATAATATGTCTGGCACTACTTAATGTAGCGAACGTTAAGGGTTCAAATCCCGCATGTGGCAAGTGCATGAGTTTCCAGTAGGTACCTATTACCAAGCTAATATTGCCTCAGTGAGGTATAGATAAAGAGAATCTACTATGTTATAATTTAATTTAATCATTTATTTCAGGCAATATTTAAAAAAGGATCTTAAATATGTAAACAGAGGCCCATAGCATATATACCTTAAAACTAACATATATGTTAATTATAAAACTTAAAAAACTTATACTAACTTCTAGTCGTATATAGCATGTAAGAAAATATTATCGTCTAGAGACCCGCCCCCACTTTTCAGGCCCACGGCCGTCATCGCGCGCCCGGTCACTGTCCGCACTGGCTAATTCATCATTAGTTTTAAAGGATTTTTTTTTAATTTTAACTAATAAATCTAAATATTTTTTGAAAATATAATAATTTAAGTACTATAATGTAGTGATGTAATAGAATATTTGATAATGATTTCAAACGTATAAGTGCTCAAGTCATTAATTATTATCTTCGAGTATTTTGTAACAGGGTCGAAAGTTCTCGAGCTCATAAAATGTATATTTTTCAAATATTTTATTTTTTATATTTCATTACAGGGATGTGTATTGTGTAGGGTGTAATAAAAACCGAATTTGTAATTTTTTTGAAAAACTGTGTGTGTCTTTTACACAAAGCGTGGGAATATTTATTTGTAGATAAAGTAACAGGGTAAGCCACGTGAATCCGCACGTAAAAGCTAGTTAGGCATTTTATAAATAATATTATTATAAAGCCGAAGAAATTGTTTGTTTGGACGCAAAATAATTACGCTAATGTAAAATTGTTTTCGCATTTTATAGCCTGAGGAAGGCTTAGAGGCTATCTAACATCAAATTGCGACTCTTAATTGCTTACAATCTCTATAGTACAGTATTTAGACAATCACCGTTTCGACAAGTTCCTTATCAACCCATAATTATGTCAACCACTATCTAATTTTTGTAGAAGAGAAATTTTGGGCGTCTCGTCAAAATGAAGCTACTCGAGAAGTTTCAGCTTGTTACTTAGCATTAAGAACAATTACAGATAAATTTCGCGAGCGGATCCGCGGTATACAGTTAATTTAATGTAATTTTACAAATCATCAAGGGAAGTTAATTTAATTTTGTTAACCCTCGGATTTAATAATGATATTTTGATAGCAAGCGCGGTGTTGGGATTTCTCGTGTGACGGCCGTGTGGGGACTTGCGTGCCACTTGTAATTCCGTGGCGCAATATGTCTGGTCGATCAGGATTGGCGTTCGTCTATTTTTATTTATACATATTATTATTATAAAGCCACGGGTTCGATTTTGTACAATGTTTTTTTTTTTAATTTTTATATTAGAGGCTTTGTCGATGGATATTTACACTTATGACAGATGTGTTCGTAGTATTTTTTATGTTGAAGTTTTCCTGATTTCCACGTGATCTTAAACTCTCTTTGCTTTAAGTATATGTCATTTTATGTGGTTAGGAAGAGCTTTTATAATCTGTTATGATTGTAAAATAATATTTGATTTAATTCGTTGCATCGACTAGAAATATTTATAAATTATTATTTTTACATATTAAGTACATCGCATTTTAGAGATTAGAAATGGTTATAAATTTAGTTTTGCCAAAATATAAGCCCTTTAATTTTTTTATAGACACATAGAAATGTTTCGTATCAAAGTTGGCAGCCCTGGCGTCGCGAGCGCGTCCGGTCGCGTTATCGCCACGGAATCGTTGACACCGCGCCAGGCCGCGGAGGAATGACCGCGCGACGCTAATTGTCGCGTCACCTTCGCAAGGGCAACCCCCTCGCCCCCCCAAACCCCTTCACCCCCCACGCCACGGTCAAGCACCCGAGTTTTTGCTATGCCTATGCCAGCCATCTGATGGACACTGATACTGATGGCCAAATTAGGAACTTTGCTAATGTTGCTAGTACTTGGGTGTATAATGTGTATTTGTGTAGAATTTCGTTTGTTTTGTTCGTTATAGTTACAGCCTTGGTTGTGTAATTATGACGTAATTGATTTTGTTGAAAAACTTTTTGTCAACCAAACTGAAGTTCTTGAAATTAATAATAATTACGCCCGCAAAAAATCTTATATTTTATATTTAAATGTAATAAGAAGATAAAAATATTAGATACATACATTTATACATATAACGTAGTACAAAATCTTTTCTTGTAGACCCTAACAATGGTTTTAGTTTACACAATTTCATCTACACTAATATTAGAAAGAGGTAAAGTTTCTGAGTTTGTGACTTAGATAAAATTTGGTAAGAAAATAGTTTTAGACCCTGGGAAGAACATTATACTTTTTATCCCGAAAATCTTCCCTTATGGGGGTGAAAATGGGGATGAAAGTTTTATGGGGAATCAAGCTAGGGATGAACCTGAACGAAGCGAGGGTGAGTCGCTAGTCTTTATATATATAATTCTTCTGTGAGTGTGTATGTCACTGAACTTCTCTCAAACGACTGGACCGATTTTGATGAAATTTTTTGTGTGTGTTCAAGGGGATCTGGGAATGGTTTAGATTCACAATTTGAATAATAATTTTCATCAAAAAAATTATTAAAAAAAGTTTGAAATTTTCAAATTAAAGACGTGTAGACAGGACAACGTCTGTCGGGTCCGCTAGTGATATATAAAGTGGTCAACTGTTTTTCCAGAAAACTTATTTACCTTCTCATTTAAGTCTCACCTGTTCGGTTAATGTCAAAAGTGGCGTTACAGGAGTAAAAAATAAGCTTGTTAAGTTACAATTAAAAAAATCGTCAAGTCCGACTCGATCACACGTCTTTTGGAAGGAAATAAAAGCTGTTTGGATGTATCATATATGTCACGAAATAAAAAACAATACCTATCACATCTATACATATAATAAAATTCTAACTGAGGCGAATCTGTACATAGGTATATTAAATATTTTTTGGAAAATCTTATAGAGATAGTCATTATTAGCGGTACAGAGGCCGAATCTATAGTTTTTAGAATTTTTTACTGTCTGTCTGGGAACGCATCATGAGAAAACTACTGCACAGATTTTGATGAAACTTTGTATGATGATAGCTGGTTATCCAGGTCAACATTTAGGATACATTTTACTGCGGCGGAAATGAGGGTACATAGTAAAATATTAAAAATGCTGCATAATATAGTAATAACAATAAAAAAGAGAAACATGTTTATTTAAAGTCAAAAACTGTACGGTAAAAAATATATATGAAAATCTCTTTAGAAATTTAGAACATGCTAATGAAGCCTGGACGTACATATGTCGCAGACTGTTCCTCGCTTTTTCGCCGTCTATTTCGGCTATTATTAGTGTGAAAGTAAAATTATTTTTCTTTTACTTTCATTTGCAAAAGAGGTCAACATTTTTTTATACTAGCGAGCCGCCCTCGTTTTGCTCAGGCTTTAACAACAACTTGTGAATTTTTAGCTAGTGTTGCAATATCTCAAAGGATTTATGTAGTTCTGAAAATTATAACTCGTTTACTCACATATCCCATAAAAAAATACAAAGCAAAAATTTATTGAATTTGGCAATTTTGCATTTAATATATTTTTTTGTTTTTATTTTTTAAACCAAACAGATTATATATTTTTCGGGTTCCGTATCCGAAGGGTGCCAACTGCCAACGGAATCCTATTACTAAGCCTCCACTGTCCGTCCGTCTATCCGTCCGCCTATCAGAGGGCTGTATCTCATGAACCGTAATAGGTGGAGTTGAAATTTTCACAAAGTATGTATTTCTATTGCCGCTGTAACAATAAATAATGAAAATAAATAAATATAAAAAAATAAAAATACAAGAAACATTTTTTAACGTTTGTAATCGATCATCGAAGGTAGTTGGTACGGAACCCTTCGTGTACGAATTCGACTCGCACTTGATCGATTTTTTATTTATCTATCATATTGAAGAGAATGAGTGGATTGTATAGATATATCTATATGTAGATATACTACACTGGCGAAGCCGTAGGCAAAGACTTGTCATAAATGTACTCGTTAACTATATAGTAAATGTTGCTAACATTTTACGTCTTATAGTCTAACCTTCTGAAAGTCTGCTCTTCTGAGGCTAGGCCATAAGGCTCCAATTAGGACGGCTTTATAACGGTATTGTTATGTTCAAACACAGTCCAATTAACTATACCTAAAGCTAATGGTTCGACTGTAAAATTTCCTTCAGTAATCAGTACACAGCTACTTAATACTAAGTCTAGCGGTAGATGTAAAGTTAATGTCTTTAGGCGGTTTTAGTAGGCATAAAATTTAATATTGTCTGTGGTGTAGTGGTGCGTGTATCTACTTGATAGGCTCTGATTAATACGCCGGGAGTTTCGGGTTCACACGCTAAGCCCATTTTTGCCCCAGTCTGGTAGGGAAAAAGTATAGAGCTTGGAACCCATCCACCCAATATATTAGACCTTAAAAATAGTAAGGAAAACTGGTACTTATATCGCTTATATTTGGTTCAAATATTTTTTCTTCAATATTTATATTTTATTGACTGCACCCTTATTACCAATTTTTTATATATTACACTTGTCATAACTCACCAAATACTATAATTAAAAATCTCTGTCAGGCAGAGTATGTGTTCTTCGGGCTAATCTCAGAAACCACTGTACGGATTTTTATAAATTTTCACAAATAAAAAGGGGGATTATTTAGGAAAGGTATAGGCTATTTTATTTGTGAACATTTTGTAAAAAAAACCGACCGATGATATCTATTTATGGACTAGACAGACTATATTATATGATACTAGCGACTCAACCTCGCTTCGCTCGGTTCATCCCTAGCTTGCTTCCCCAAACAAACTTTTATTTCCATCCCTCCCCTTCCCTCCCCCTCCCCCTTAAGGGATGATTTCCTGGATCAAAACTATTTAACTTAGTCACTTGTCATATCATAGATTTACAAAAAGATCTTATTTTAGTAAAAAAAAAAAACTTTTATACAAAGCTTGTCCTGGCAATATAGTAAACACAAAAAAAGAATTACCTAATTTGGTGCAGTCGATCGGAAGTTATGCACGTACATACATTTCGGTGATTCATTTTTATTTATATAGATATAACCTTCCTCAATAAACGGACCATCTACTGCAAAATGAATTTTACAAATCGGATTAGAAGTTTCTGAGATTAGCGTGTTCAAAAACAAACAAACTCTCTTTATAATATTAGTATAGATTCCTAGCGAAAAGAATTACTATATTAAAGGCAAATCACAATAATATTGACATCCGGATTTTACATACAAAGTTTCAAATCGATACAAAGTTTAGAAGTAGGTACTTACTTATGTTACCATCAACTTCCAAGATTTCATCACATATAACTACGTTATCAAGATTAGTTATAAAACCATGCAGGCTGTTTTAATAGCCTGTCTCACCATGACTTGAATCTTCTGTCTTGACCTTTAGCTAAATCACAGGATACTTATTTCTTCAATGACTCTTTTGTTCGATTTTTTTATCCGGCAGTGAGACTTCAGTTGAAATCGGTTCAACCGTTTGGGAGATACAGACGTTTACATATATATATTTTTGAATAGCTGTTCAGACTTTGTTATCGGAAAAACTTTTTAGCAAAAAAATAAAAATCGACTTAAAACAAAAGCACTAAAAAGTAAAAAATAACTGATTGGTAGTTTTCATTTACTATACATAACTAATCAAATATTTTAGTGCATTTGTTTGAAGTCGGTTTTTATTTTTTTGTTAAAAAGTTTTTATTTTTCCCTTTTTAGTGTAGACAGTAGTAGCAAAGTAAGAATTCTAACGTGTTAGGCTTGTCAAATCAAACAAAATAAGCTCAAACTCAAAGTATCTACTATTAGCCGTTGAAGAGCTCCACCTATCCACCTTCTGGCCTTACCATCAGATCAGGTCAACAATACTGAACCACTGTACTATTAACGGAAATAGAAACACTTGCAAAGTTTCAAGTCAATATGACAATTGGAAGTAGGTTAAATTCATCATTAGCTATTTTTCCACCCTTAGGGGTGGTATTTTTTTTTAAATTTAAATGGGATCAATCTGGAAGTATACACTTTCAAACAACACAAAAATTGTCCAAATCGGTTAATAAATGACGGAGTTCTGAGGTAACAAACATAAAAAAAATACAGTCGAATTGAGAACCTCCTCCTTTTTGAAGTCGGTTGAAAATAACCATATGAGCTTAAATTGCATATACTAAATCATAATATATATTATGTATTCATAAAAGCTGAGCTACGCCCACGTTTTTTTTTGCTTTCACTGTACGCCTCATATGTTTAACACGCCTCCTAGAGTTGCCCACTTTTATTCATATTATTAGATTGAGATTATTTATGTTGAGGAAAATTTCGTTTGACATTAAGAAAACATTATATTTATTCATTAATTCTGCCTTTTTTAAGCATTCTAGCATTGCTGGGCCCTACCCTCTTTTCAATACGAGGAGGATCAGACCACAGCTGTCCACCACGATGGTCAAGTGCGAGTTGGCGGATTTTACATATCTCCTGAAAACTAGCTTTACCATATTTTCATTTTTATATATTTCATTTAAGTGCCGTGCCATTCATATGTTTAGCAAACGTTAAATAGTACCTACTTGCAACTTGACGTTTGCTCAGCATATTATGTATTTAAGACATTTAATTTAAAATTAAGAATTTTATGCAAGTGGACCTTAATTTTTTTTATGTATATCGCATAATTTAATTTTACAAATATAATAAATATATTAATAAATAGCAGTACGCTGGGCTCATCTGAAGATTACCTGAAAATTTCATCAAAATCGCTCCAGCTGTTTCGGAGTCCATAGGAAACATACACACATCGATTTTTATTTTATTTA